CACTGAATAGGTAACATGCACCTCTGGCTTATTCAGAAAACAAGATCTGAAGTACAAATGGCTTTCGCTTTCTCCTAATTCATCATAAACAGGGCTTGGGGCTCCCACTAGGAGTCCTCATCTAAGCACATCTTACGTAAGGTCATCTCACTTAAGCAGCAACTGGATTACAGTTTCAATCCTAAGAATGTATGGAGAAACTCTAGCATGGCACCTATGAAACCCTCTGTGTACCTTCTAAGTTTTGTGGGCTGCTTCTCCAGACATTGCAAAGTCATGTGTAAGGAGTAACAAGCAATGAATGAAGCTGCCTTTCCTTCTGCAGGATATGTAAATCTCTACTCAGCAGCGGCTCCGTGCCAACACTTTGGGGAACACCGTAATACAGTTTATGGCCAGAAATTTCCTTGGTCTCAAGCTCGTTGGGAATAGGGTAAGAGAGTCTGGTCATAAAGCAGGCTAAGTTGGTGTTGGTCTAGATTTAGAGAACTTAGCCCCCATCATTTTGCTTTTCTTCCTGGTATAAGTAAATGCCTTCTCCGAATACCCCTTCCTCCTGTTCTAGCTGCATGGTCAAAGCCAGGAGCCTGCACACGTATACCCTTTCGGGGTGCTTCAAGAACTGGAAGTTCAGTCATAGGAGCTCATGCCTATCATCCCAGCACTGAGGGAGACTTGAGACTGAATTTCAAGCTCAGTGCCAGACTACATAATGAGACCTTGTCTCATACCAGAACCAAATTAAAAGCTCTTTTAAATTCTCTACATCCAGCTGCTGTTCAAAGGGCACTCAGGCCTTCAGCTCTTACTCTGGTGGCTCCATTTTCCATCTATTAAGTATCGCCAACTATCTCCCAGGACCATTCCAGCAGGTATTTCCAGGTTAATTTGAAGATACCCTTGTGTATATGTATTAGTGTTACCAAAGCAACTTCACTGCCAGTCCAGTGGGTTGAACTCAGGGCCTAAGTGCTGTCCCTTAGCTTTTTTTTTTTTTGTTCAAGGCTAGCACTCGAACCACACAGCTCCACTTCTGCTTTTTGGCGATTAATTGAAGAGTGAGACAGACTTTCTTGTGCAGGCTGGCTTTTAACTGCAATTCTCAGATCTCAGCCTCCTCAGTAGCTAGGATTACAGATAACCCTGAGGCAGCTAGAGCTAACTTTACATAATAATTAAACAATAAACCAGGCAAAGTCCTCCACTGAGGTAGGTACACATCCTGATTCTGCTGTCACCTGTGGCCACAGCAGGGGCCCAGTTACTTAAGAAGCCTTTCCCTCCCCCTTTATCTACTAGGGAAAATGTCCTGCTGTTTTCCTGCCACTTACAAAGTCACGACAAATTCAGGGACTGAATAAAATACCAGATGAATGATGCTGTGTACATGCAGGGTCTTAGGAAAGTTGCTAGCAGGGTTATATTCTGGCTGTATGTACAATTGAGGCATTCCCCTCCCCCCTACGTTTAGATGAAGCCAGCAGTGGTTCAAGTGATCTGTGAGTGAAGCTCCAAGCCTTGGAATAAATGCTTTTGTCCATTCTATACATTAGACTTCTGACTACTCTTTTAAAAGAAAGAGCTCCACACTGGGCACCTGTGGTTCATGCCTGCACTCCAGCTACTCAGGAAGACGTCAAAATGCTGGGCTAGAGGCTTAGCTTCGAGTCATAAGAGTACAAGCCTACCAAGTGAAAGGCCCTGAATTTAAACCTTGGGATGAGCACCAAAAACCAGAGGGGGAAGGGAGAACCCTGCAACTCCTTTGTTTTTAACAAGTATGCATTCGAACATCTTATCTTCTTACTTGTCTGGTAGAGTGGGAAGGAGAGTCTGGACTTCAACTTATTTACAAGTACATTTGAGCTCAATCAGCAGGCCTTTCTGAAGTGTATGCACACACACCTCTGCAGTCACAGAGGACAGATTGATCCTCCCTGGGGGAGGCATTCAGGTAGGACAGGCACATAGCCCTGGAAAGCCCAGTGTCTGCTCTGGAGCCTCCTGGCCAGGGTTAAGCCTCCTAGCCTACACTCAACTTCAAGGTGCTTTCCCTTTGAGTAGGACGGTTTCATTTGCCTCCTAAGTAGCTAGCAGACTCAGTAGTCAGCACTGTAATGTTTCCAGACATTCCAAAGCTGGAGTGCTCCCAGCTGGAGTGTTATCAGAGACTTCATTTCATGGTTTGGTCCTACAGGATTGTTGCCCCTCTCCTCCCAAGGAAATGCCAGATTTCCATAAACCATGACACTGTGGTGGACAAGGTTTAACTCAAATACTTGGTGGCTAAACAAGGAAAATATTCCCTAATCAAGAGCTCATTTAGAACAAGGAAAGAAAGACAACCACAGCATTTAAAGATAATTTATGTACATTTATGGCTTTATACAATTATAGCAAAGATTGTTCTTGTGTCTGTTAAGCACATCAGCATCATCAGGCACTTCTCAGAGAGTATTGGGCAGGGACGTGGAATCCTCACTGTTACTAAACTTGGTGGTGAAACTCGGGAAGATGTGACTCTACCCTGATCTAAGACTTACAAGGCCATCACTGGCCATGGTGCCAGGCTGTGGGCCTACCCCCGACCCCCCAGGAGGGATCAAGGCTACTTTGTTTGCAAAAACCACACTTTCAACTGAAAGATTACTCCCCAACTAAAACCACAAGAGAACCTTCTCCTTTAAAATCAGTTCTAAATTAGAAATTGTTAAGAGCTGAAACCAAGAAATTCAAGTTGTGTTTTAGGGGGTGGAATGAAGAGGATGGAGGAGAGCTCTGGTCTCATATATCCAGCAGTTGAACAAGTTCAAATTGTACACCTTTTGGAGATTGGTTTCCATTTTCATGTCCTTACCCTTTTCTTGGTGCATTCCATCAATTGATGGCTCACTGGGTTACAACATTTGCTAATTGGCCTAGACTTCTGTCAGTTTGTCAAAGCAAAACTTTCCAGGTAATACATCTATTATCTAAATATATTCCATACATCTCTATTACGGAAACAATACATCTTTATATTTAAAATATCTGAATAGCTCTATAATACAATATGTTTTTAATAACAGTACAAACCAGAGGAAATAAATCAAACAAGGCTGCATAGGTGATATCATTTGCACATTTCACAAAGCAATCCTGTACAATAATATACTAATTACTCCAGAAAGTCAGTATTCTTTATAGCAAAAGAACTCCCAGAGGCCCCATGATATTTGCTTTCAAGAAATGGGGACAAGGTAATGTTTGCTGGACTTCACTGAACCCACAATAGCTATCCACAATCTATGCTAGGATTTCAACACAAAGAAAATGGAGGTGGGGAAAGATGAAGAAGCATCTTCCTAAAGTCACACTATGAAGTAATGATACGACTTGGGCTGTGGTTGCCTCTGTGGTGGTAGTGCAGGAGCCCTGAGGCACCTTCTGTACTGGAGAAGCCATGATGTTGGAAGGAGGAAAGTGAGAGGACATGGGAAGAGAAGTGAGCGACAGGTTCTGACAACAAGCTCTATTCCATGGGCAGGAGGCTCTGCTGGGGGAACCAAGGCTTCTAAAAATGAGCGCTGATGATGGTTAAAACGTGGCTACTCAATAAATGTCTGCAACAGAAAAAGTCACAGTGGGAAGCTAAGGGCAGAGCTGTCTAATGTGGGAATTCTATCGGGAACACTTGTGTTCGTTTTTTTTTGTTGTTGTTGGTGGTGGTAGTGGTTGTGGGGTCTGAACTCAAGGCGAGCGCTCTACCGCTTGAGCCACAGTGCCACTTCCGGCTTTTTCTGCTTCTGTGGTGCTGAGGAATCAAACCCAGGGCCTCATGCATGCAAGGCAAGCGCTCTACCACTGAGCCACCTTCCCAGCCCAATACTTGTGTTCTTAACATGCAAGGAACAAGCCAACAGAGGCACAACTGCCACCCAAGAAAGAGCCAAAGTGGCACGGGGCCATGTGCAAAGAAGTCAGAGCCTACTAAAGAAGGCAGCAGCAACACTGCTACATACCTGTTCTTTTCAAAATCATGATGTTTGAGCGTTCCACTGAACTTGGAAACACTAATGGATGGAGTCCAGAGATAAAACCAATAAACCCATCTGTCAGTTACAGGTACCATTGAAGTATCAAACCCCAAAAGTCATTGTTTCTGGCTGCTAAAAGCCTAAGAAATCCTCAAATCCTTGATTTAAGCTTCCATTTTGAAACCAGTTCTAGTCCTCTTGGTAGCCATCTGTACTTTAATGAATACAAAGCACTCCACAAATCCCTGAAGTCCTGCTTTGAAATTTCCTCCTTCAAACTTTTCAGGGCAGAGGGGAGTGTGGGGATGGAGACTAGGGACTGACATGATTTTTCAGGGCAGAGCTACAAAACAATCTCTATCAGAAATAAAATCAAAGTGCAGAGGTATGACGGAAACTTTTAGTGAAGATCCACTGAAAAGAGGGTAAGCTGACCAAAACCCCCAGGTTAAACAAAGGAGTTTGAGATTCACCAGTCTCCCTCCATTCCTGATCTACAAACATGATGAGGCCTCCCAGAAACAACAATGTGACACGCGGGCATCAGAAGACCTGACACTATGTATGCAGTGCACACAGATCACAGGGAAAGAGAGCAGGTGGAAATTCTTTAAAATACATACATAAAAACATATTTTGCTCTTCTAAGTACGAAACGCGAAGTATTCATAACTATACATCACTTTCCTGCCCAAACAGGGCCAGAAACGTTAAGTATCCAAGTACTAATTACAACAATTTTAAAGATTAGTCAGAAACATCACCAAGTAGCATCCCAAAGTGTACAAACCAGTTAAGCACATATAAAAGTTAGTACTAATCCAGTTAGAAATACAAAAAAGAAAAAAGAAAAATATGAATGCTGTCCCCAGATACTTGTTTCCACAAATTTACAAGCAGACAATGTAACAAAGTAGACCCTAGTTTTAAGAAAAACATTACAATTCAGTTATCTATTCCAAAAATGATCTCAAGTCCCAACAATAACATCAAAAAATCATTTATCTGGAAATTAGAACCATTTTAAGTGTTTGTACAAATTTGCAAATAACAAAACAACTGACCAACAACAACAACAAAAATAGAAAAGACCTGTACAAGGCTGGCATGAACCATCCCCTCCCCCCTCCCCCCCAAAAAAAGTTTGACAGGTCCATTAATTCAGCAGATTGATTAACAGGCTACGTGGTTCTCATGTGAATCCTGTGGCAATATGAACAGGTCCAGAGCCGTTCAGTGAGGTTCAGAATGGAGATCTCAGTTCTTTGTGATTCATTTCTTCAGCAGAACACAGGTAGTACAAACCAGAGTTTAACTTAGCAAGACATGAGAGATCCATCACAGTATTACAAAAAGTATAAACTTTCCTTGGACCAAATGGATATTAAAAAAAAAAATCACAAATACAATTCCGTATCATCTACCATTTATATACAAAACTTGAAAAACACACCAGGATCTGAAAGTCTTTTCTGCAATTCTACGGTGTAGTGAGTTTGGCACTTCATTGTAATGAAATTTCCAATGGCACAGTCCTTATCTACAGCAGCACATAACCTGCAAACCTTGGGCAAACATCCTGTACAGGAAAAGTATCTTTGCTGCCAAGTCTGACGAAAGGGGAAAAAAAAAAAAGAAAAGAAAAGAAAAGAAAAGGAAGGATTTTTTCCCCTTTTTTTCTTTTTTAATCAAGAAAACTAAAAGGAGGGGTGTAAAGGGCATCTTTGGACTGCTTCTCTTCAGTTCTTGCGATCACGACAATTTGAAGCACTTTTAAGTGTAGCCTAGAGAAAACATACACACACATATATTGAAAAAATAGCAGAATTAATATCAATTCAACTTAATAAACTAGAGTGACAAGCATACTTGGGGGGATAGAGGGTGAAGAGCTAGAGCTTTATCAAATAGCTAGAAAATCAATTAATTGAGAAAATTCCATTTAAAAGTAAAGTCCTTCACCATTTCATTTGTATGCAACATATTCATTTCTTGAAGAGCTAGTAAAGAGATGCAGCTATCTAACTGTCCAAAGAAAATCTGTATAAGCTACCTTATAGTTAAGCTCAAAAGGAAAATCGATTAGCTGCAAAAAAAAAAAAAAAAAAAAAGGTGGAGAATAAATGATAAAAGAACTCTCTGCAAAGGGCACACAGGTGGTGCCAAAAAGGGGTCATCATGACAGACAGCTCATGGCAAAGTCATGTGCTCCTCTGAAAATTCTATTTTTCCAAAAGCCTTGCATCACTGGGGTAAGCTTACCTGCTCACTCACTCTTAGCCTGACACCCAACTGTGTGTCGTGGTCTTGACATTGTGTGGGAAGCTTTGGTTAGGCAACACATTGTCAAAGTTAAAATCCAAAGTGTCTCCATCCATGAGGTCATTCCGAATGATAGACTCCATGTCGCAGTCCAAGCGCTCAATAAACATGCCATCCAGGTCACTTGGGAGCTTCTCCTGGTGGAGGACCCCTGTCCTGCCATAGCCGTTGCAGCTGCTCACCGAGGAGTAGCCGCCCAGGGTGCTCATCTGCATGAGGTGAGGCGGAGGCACTTGTAAAGATGTCTTCAGTGGGGTCAGGCGGCTCAGACCAGAGGTGTGAGGCATGGTGCTCACTGTGTGGGGCAGGGCTCGCCCATTAACTGCGGATGTTTGCTGGCCATGGCCAGGGTGGGTGTGGGAGGTGGGATTCATTATTTTGTTATGAGATGCCTGGTTGCCATAGGCTGGCATGACTGAATTAGGACCCATCATCACATTCTGGCCCAGGACCCGGCTGTTGGGTTGGGCCACTCCAGGATCAACTGGTGACATCATGTCATTATGGGGAGGGGAGTCAGAAGTAAGTAACTCCTTTAAGAGTCCCGGTGCACAGTTAAACTGATTCAATCCTCCATAAGTCGATTTGCTGTCCTGAAGCGTTTGCATAGGCATCTGGGGCAAAGGGCTCATGCTGGATTGGCCGTACGTGTACTTTTGGTAATTTGGACTGGGTGAATTCAGACTGGTGTTGGGTGGCGCGAAGGAGTAGCATGGTGTCTGCTGCATCATGCCACCGGGCGAAGACTGGGTGGACACAGTTAATGATGTTGGCGATGAGAGAAGATTGAGATTATCCAGAAGGTTTTCCATGTTTTCAGGATTGCTGATCTCAGACAGGCTGGGGAGGGTGGAAGCCATCTTTGCGGCGGACGGTGGGTACACCAGCGAATGCACGTCCCCTTCTCCAAGATCATCCTGCTCGGTCATGATGGGCGAGAGTCTCCCGCTGATAGTGCTCGCGTTGGAGCTAGTACGAGGACGAAATGTGCTCCAGTTGTCAAAGTCATCATTGCTGTGAGAGCCTGGGCTTGCAGGCCATTTGGAAAACTGAGACCCAGGGCTATCCCCAGCACCCTCCTGGCCAGACTGAAGAGAAGCTTTTTTCTTGGCAGCTCGGCCTCGGCTCTTTGCAAATTTACTGTTGTTGTCCATGGACGCAGCTCTTCTCCTGGGGGATTTTCCACTCTTGCCTCCCTCTGGATTGAGCATCCACCAAGAACTTTTTCCAGTTCCTTCATTCTGCACACGAATGAACTTGCTGTGCAGAGACAGGTTATGGCGAATTGAATTCTGTAAAAAGAAAAAAAAAGTAACATTTAGAAATATATTGCTGTTCCGCCTGGAAAACTGCTACTCAACATGTGTTACATCGAAAATGGGTCAAATTTGAGTGAACAGTTATGATTGTTCTAAACCTATTACAAAAGATCTGGAGTCAGTGTAGGAGAAATCGTTATCTTAAAAATAGGATCCCTATCTTTCATTTGGCAAGCCCAATTATAAGCCATTTCTTTTCTACAGCTATATTTTATGGGGAAATTACAAGAACTGGTTTTAAGAGCACTAAAATTTTGTTCAGCTACAACGCTATAACAAATACTAATCAGTATTAAAGCACCATCAAAACCCCATTCGGATGCCCTTACTCCTAAAACAGACAATTCTTTTCAGATGAAGCACGCGTTAATTACACCAAGTGAGAAATTCTGTATTATTAGGCTCACATGATTTGGGGGGTGGAGTGAGGGAAGAGTGAAGAGTGATAAGGATATATTATATATTCCTAGTCAAGAATCAAAAGCTTGAAAACTAGCAAGACCCAAATTCATTTAAGAAAAAGAAAATGTTAAAGTCAAGAAGTACCTCTCTAACCCAGTATTATAGAATACCTTGTAACTGCATGAGCTTCCTTATGGGTTACACCTGGTCCAAAAAGAAAATGGGTAGAGAACCCAGTCTAAGATGTACTTCTCACTTCTATTTGGTGGGTGGGTTACGGGTAGGAGCCTGGACATATTACAACTATAGACTCACAATTGCAAATATTCGGAGGGAGAGAGAGCCCACAGTCCCTTAGTGTTCTGCTGCAGACAAGGCTATCCCACTGGGACTCTCCTGCTCAAGACACAGGCAAGACTTCTGATAAGTATCCTGGGGTATCATCTAAGAAAGAAGTGAGAAACACTCCTAGCTCCTTAGACGCAGGGTCTATTTATTCAACTCCCTCTGTCCTCCGGGACCTGATCCCAAGTCTGGGGGCTGTCCCTCAGGCTTGGCTTCTTCCGGGTGCAAGGATCAGCTCCTTCGGCATCCTGTGGCCCCTCTTGGACCACAAAAAGACTCTGGCTAGATTTGTGGTCACCTAGAGAGGCAGCCACAATGCCCACATCCTCATGCTACTGACATGGGAACAATGGTGCCCAAAGGCCAACCACTCCACTAGAGCAGAGCCTTGGAACAGTAGACGGGGCAGGGTGGGGTCCCACAGAACCCCAAGATCAGAGAAGGGATGGGATGAAAATCTTGCTTTCTGAAAGGAGTTAGTAACGCTGGAAGGACGCTCAACTAGTTAGAGCTGGGAAAAAAAATCTACATTTCATAATGTCCTCTGCCCAGGATTGCAACCCAGCCAAGTGACATGTCCGGGTCATACATAGCCCAACAGGAGCTTCTGGCTGATGCTAGACAGTTGTGTGGGCAAGTGACAATGGTGGTCTTTTATTTCTAAGACTTCCCTAATCTTTCCCATGATTCTTCCTAACTCCAGGTAGCTATGAAGGAAGGGGCAGGGGGAAGGGAGATTGAGCTCCATACAAGATTCCCCAAAGAGGCCCAGGACTACATTTCTCTCGAATCCTCTATCATTCTTGTTGAGGGTGCCAAAATTACATGGGGTGGTCACACATATACATATACATGTACATGTATACATACAGACACAGTGCCACAGCCTCATCTACTGTGTCCACAGATATTCAAACTCTCAATTCCTCCTTAAAAGCAACAGCCTGCCTGGGGTGGGCTGGAACACTGCCAAACACTATGACCCTGCACCCTGCCACACTGTCTACAGGCTGGAAGGCGGGAATTTTCACAATAATTCCATCATGACAGTTTTGTTCTTCGAACACAATAGACACACAGATAAGCTCCAATGAAACCTCGGGAGGACAGGAAGTTTGACTCCGGTCTCTGTCACATTTAGTTAATGATAAAGGGAGAGAAAGATCTTCCCAGATAGCAGCTTCCTGGTTGTCTTCACTAACAGGGCCGATGGGGGAGGGGTAAAGATTTAGAATACTCCACATGATTCTGTAAGACCACTAGCAAGTGCAGTGGGGGAGCATTTTTAACAAGAATGCAAAAGATACAATAAGGCAATCTTCAAAAAAAAAAAAAAGTTCAAGGTTACTAACTCAGTTGGGGTATATACTAACCTTAACCTATTTTTTTTTCTTTCCAAGTCATAGCAATCTCTTATTTATCAAAACATCGCACTACATATTTTTCTAAGAGGACATTTCAGGTCACCCAGAGTAACAGAGTTATCTACTAACTCTGCCAACAATTAAAAAAAAAAATTTTCCCCCCTGACAGGAAAAGGTTTGCTGTGCCGGGCTTGTTACATAAATTCCTGTTTTTCACACAGCCAGCAGGACATTAAAGCTCTGATAGCTCAAGTTTGGAGGGGTGACTTGTGAAAACACATGCTTTTATGACTGACCTGGAGTCCGCACTTTTCTCCACATGCCTCTGTGTACACCCATGCTGTCACGTGATGGGCTACCAGCCAGCACATTCTTAGGAAACCTGACCCAATAAGCTCCAGAAGCCCCAGACACGGACCTGCCATTTACGTGCTCCGTCTGTCGTTCTGCTCTTAAGACATTCTATTCTATCCGCTCCATAGACAGGATTCCAAGCTCCTTAAAGGGCAAGAAGACTAAGCTTTATAAATCCTAATCTCATAACCCCCAACAGCTGTTCTACAATACAAAACATATTTAATAAGTATCTTCTGGTTGATATCTAAAATATTACAAGGATACATAACATATTACACACATTTTGTCCCTCCATTCATAGACAACTCACGTCACCCACGTTTACGGCAATCCATTTTGTGCTAGGAAGCAAGGAAAGGCACAAGATGCAATTAAACACAGCTCCTGCCTCCCTGAAGTTTTCCATCTATATGGGAAGAGAACAGTCCATAAATACACACAGCAAAACAGTAGAGGACATCCATAGGACTGTGTAGGAACATTAGGGTAAAACTGACTGGTTTGGAAGTTTTTCTGCATGCTGCATGCTGGTGCTGAGGTCTAAATTCAAAACATTAAGTCAGATCAATTGTATAGTCTATGCATTTGCTATCCAGGAGCAATAGAATTCACAAGATGCTGCTGCTGAGCCCTGTGTGGGGACATCATTTTCTGCCTAGCGTGCTCAGCTCTGGACACAGGTGAAACACAGTGGAGACGTAGCAGCAAGTATCAAGGTCCGGCTGTTTCGAATGGCCAAAGTCTCCATTGTGGCTTTTTTTTTTTCTTTGTCAGTCATGGGGTTTGAACTCAGGGCCTGGGTACTATCCCTGTTTCACTCAAGGCTAGCACTTTACCACTTTGGAGCCACAGAGCCACTTCTGGTTTTCTGGGGGTTAAGTGGAGGCAAGACTCTCATAGACTTTCCCTGGCTTCAAACTGCCATCCTCAAATCTCAGCCTCCTGAGCAGTTAGGATTACAGGTCTGAGCCACCCAAGCCCCCACAGGAGTTTTTCGAAATGAGCTCTATTGAGCTATTCCTCCATGCAGCTAGAAGAGATTAGGGTCTGAAAAACTGCTCCCTACCCCAACACAGAAAAGCCATTTTGTACATGCCCTCCTCCTCGGAATGCCCTTAATCCTACAATCTAAAGCAATAGACAGCCAATGAAGTACATGAGGAAATCTTTACAACTTTAAAGTTTATCTCATTCTTGTAAAATTTATGTCCAAAGACATTATAAGTGTGTGCAATATGAATGGATTGTATAAACTGATTTGATACCCATGGTCTATTATAGACCCAATGGTCTATTATACATTTCTAGGAGCCTGAGATCCTAAAAAAACCAGGGGTACAGAACCAGCCATGAGTCAAGTCTAGGAAACTTTTGGTACCTCCCAGCAAAGTCTGAGTTGGAAAGATGACCTGGTCCTGCCCTCTGCTTGTAGCACCTAAGACCCTTATATTCTGAGAGCTAAGTGTGGTCTGATTCCTGGGCATCCTCCTTCATCCTGTGACTCCTGTCTTCAGACCTAAGATGGCATCTTGCTGGCACTCTAACCACTTGAGCCATGCCTCCAGTCTGGTCTTTTTGCTGGTTAAATGAAGCAAAAAGTCTCATAGACTTTTCTGCTGGGGCTGGCTTTGAACCTGAGTCCTATGATCTCAGCCTCCTGAGTAGCTAGGATTATAGTGAGAGTTACCAGTACCAGACTCAAAGCAAGGTTTTATGACCCTACTTGCAACACTACTGGGGTTAAGAAACCTACCACTTTGGATTCACCATCATTAAAAAGAATCAAAGTGACACACCAAAGTTGCCCATGTATGTACATTCAGGGAGCAGAAATAATTCTGTTTACTAGTCCACAAAACTCATTCTCTTCCTGAATGGGCGATAAATTTATATGCAATTTCCTTTTATTTTAGTGGGTTCCTCTTTATGGCAAGAAACCATAGCAGCTGAAGTGTGAAGTTCAGGTGTACACATCATCCCAGGAAAAGCTCCATATACAGAGGCTTTGGAGACTCATACAGAAAAACGGAAAGATCCCCAGAGATTCCAGGGGCCAAGAACTGCGACCTGCCTACAGAAAGGTGGGGGCACAGAAAAGGAAGGGGGAGACTTCTTATTAAAAGATTAGAACATATGACTAAATGGACTCGTTCTAAAAATCCTTTCAAAATGTTGGACAAACTAGACTTTTTTTTAAAAGCACTTTATCTAATTTCTGCGAACACTCTCTTGTGTGTAACTATTCTAAGACTCCCAGGGTAGCCTTGATTCCTTGCCCCTAGTTCTCTTTTGCTCTATCTCTTCCTCTAGCGATCATCACTTTCCACAAGTGAAAACAAACTAAAGAGAGAGCAGAAAAGTCTTTACTCCATAGACTTCCTATTAGGATTGCTCATAAAACAACCTTTAAGAAAAATCCAGTCTACATGCAAACAGAAGAAAAACATGTGACTTTTAGTCATTTTTGTTTTCACAAGTGATATCAATAGACACACTGTCAAAACA